TTTACGAAGCGTTTTCCTCTCCTTCTCTCACCTTTGAACATTCGGACCCGCGCGCGTACAAAAGTGCAATTTGGCTTCTTTTACCCCAACCAAAAACACGTGCTGTTATTTTACGTCCAAATTTGCATTGAAAATTTGTTTGAAATATCGCACTGAATTGTTGCCCATAATTTTGGCAATACCAGACACAGAGTATGTGATGTGAAAAATGTGAAATTTGAAATTAAATGAATTTGATGTATACGGATGGTATTTGTTCGCAATTTAAGATCAAATCTGATTTTAACATGAAACGTTTATAGCTTCCATGTCAATCACTATTAGACCAACTAGGTTTCTGATGCGAGCTTGTTTTTGTTGATGACATAAGCTTGAAAATGCTTTATTCGTTTGGTTTCATTCTAATTCGCATTTTTTGTTCCTTCGTTAATCATTTATTGCATCTCGTGGCTATAACTGCCTAGTACTTGATGAATTTTCAAAATTTTTGATTTTGCAGCGAAGTAATCGCAGGATTTGCAATAGCGATGAGTTTAGCTGAGAAACCTGCATGGACCAGTATGGATAAGGATCATTTCGTGAGGTTTGTTGTATTATCCCGCAAACCACATTTTGAAATTAATGCATAAGAATGATTTACTGATGGGCTAGTGATTGTGTTCATCATGTGACAGTTCAGTCGTCTGACTTTCTAAAGAGTTTATTCAGAGAGTACAAAGGCTTCAAGGTGATGACTCATGTACTACATTTTTAAGACGTTTGTCATCGATGTGTGGACAGGTGGAAAAAATTATTCAACGTGGAAGTATCGAGGATATTGAAAATTGGGAATTAAATGGATTGCGTAGAAAGTAAGTCATCAGCGAAAAATAGTTCAACTAGAAATCATTTAATGACGGAGTAATTTAGTTGCCTTTTATTCACAACTTGTGCAACAACTGCCTTCATGATAGCAACAAACCTGATTATTTTCAGAAGTAATATTGATGATTCAGGATATGGCGGTCTTGCAGTCAGCTGATTGATGACGAAGAATATGGACAAAGAGCATTAGAATGGAATTGGCGTTCGTGTTATTATTCGTTGATATTACGCATTCGTAACGGCTTCAGTAACATACTAAGTGAACAACAAAAACAATGGTCTACTCGTATAATGCGTCGTTTAATCGCTGAATTAGCTTATTTGGCTAATTTCGTTAAGCGACACTCCTCGAGACGTGCACTCATATCAGTTTATATTGGTGATTTGTATCGTTATTCATATTTGCTGTGCTCAGCTGAACGTGATCGTCATATAGCCATTCTGCAATACAAGTACGTTCATTATTTTTCTTTCTTATTGGGTTTGTTGTTGTTTGTTCATCTCCTGATGAAACGAGGCTGTATGTGTTGTCACTAGCTAAATGTCAGTAATAATCATTGTGATGAAAGTAATATGAGAATAATGTTAACGTATTTCATTTTCTCGTATCAGTTCCTTGATTCATACTCTCCTTCGTGACACTTCTTTTTCTCATTAGCATTATCAGAACATAAGTTTCTAGATACCTATCTTGCAAATACATATCTGTCTTTTCAGCGTCTACTTTACTAGACACCCATCTTTCACATATTTATCTTTTCAATCATATTGCATCCATCCTCAAAGATTCTTTTTACTGGACGCTACATCAACATTTCCATTCTTGAAATTTCTTGATGCAGTGTTTTTATTGGGTTGTTTTAACTGCGTAAACGCGAGTCTAATAGGTATTTCATTTAACAGGGAAGCAGTGGCCATTGATTCGCATTTGGGATTAGGTTTCAATCAGATGGGGTTATTAATTCAAGAGACCGAACCGGCCACAGCGTTGATGCATTTCATGTTGGCAGTTCTCGCTGAGCATCCCTTCAACGGTGCTTACGCCAATATTCTCGCATTTCTTACGCGTGCTCCATCGTTGCAATTGCGTGAAAATGCAGATATCATTTCACTCATCACTCACTGTTTTAGTTCGTTCAGGTATCCAATTAGCTCATTTCTTCATTTTTTGACATGTGTGTTTGGTTATATGATAAAATTGAAATGTCATTTTGAGAGCATTAGAATTCGATGAATATCGAATGAAATGGATGGAAGAAATGCATTCAAAATTGGGGTTACATGACGAAGAGCGTGTTGCATTCCGAATACATCTCTTGGCATTATCTGCGGCAACACTTGCAACAAAAAGTAATTATGGTTGATATTTTCGTTTTTTAAAAATTTTCTGAGCAATTCCATTTTCGTTATTTGATGAGCTCCGATCGTATGCAGAGAATTTTTTCCTGCATCATTCGAAAAATTTAAAATATTCACGAAAAAAGATCAAACATTCATTTCACCTTGTTTGATCAGTTACTTTATCGAAACGATTACTTTTGGTATAAACTTTTTTGAATTAATGCTTTGACTGACTGATATAAATGAAATGGTGATGATAATTGTAAAAGTGCGACTTGAGTGGTGCATGTTGAAGTGGTGGTTGTGATCGTAGGATCGGGATGGAGAAGTAGTTGTCGATGAACTAGGAACATTTTTTGTTGAATTATGGGTAACTTTATCCAGATTGCACATACTTGTAAATGTGAACATTTTATGTAATATTCAGAAGAAAACGAAGTATGTCGTGCGATATGCACAATGCTTTTGGATATTTCGACGGCAGTCATAGAAGCAGTCGAAGAATTGGCTGCGAATGTAGCAGCGTCGTTGATGCGGAAAGGTGCTCGTCGCCGGAAAGCATCTGATTCGAGTCAAGAAGAGACGTTTGGTTGTACTTCACAAGCAACAAAAGGTGGAGGAGATTACTGCAGTGATAATGAAGACGACGTCGTTGAATTGTCTGATGATGAGGAGGATGATGAGTATTATTTGTGTTCTGGAGATCCATACCATGTCGAGAAAGTTATGGAAAAGCTGAAAGCAAAAAAACAATTAAATGATGCAAAATTATTACTCACTGCGCTTGTTCATTTCACAATTTTGAACGCAAAACAACTATATGCTGAGCGTACACCTGGTGCAATCAGATCGGTGGGCGTTTTTTTTGATTTCTTGTTTTCGAAAAAATTTCATTAATTTTTGAGAGTTTAGAAGACTTTCTCAGCAATAAACTCTTAGAAATCAGTCAAAGCATCAGTAAAAGTATATATTATATGCACCTACATATTCCGTTGATAATCGTGCAAAACTTGTTTTGTTGACCAACCAATCTTTACAGCGTTCATGGTCATTGCGATTTTCACTGCAATGAGATACAAATTTTTTTTGACCACAAAAAATAACTTCTTTAGCACCATTAACAAATATTCAATGGCAAAATTGATTGATCAATTGGTTTTAACTTTTTCTGATATGTCGTCAAGTAGTAAAATGGAGAAGAGGGGTTGATGATGATGGTACAGCCAAAAGAGAACATGCATCACAAGAACGTACGAACCATTGCTTTAGAATGATGATAGTAGCCGCTATTCAAAATCGCTGACTTTGCCGATTTGAATTGGTTGTAGTCATCAATAAAAAAGAATAACTGATGAAAAAGATTACGTTAAATCTTTTTCAGAGTTTCGAGGAATTTATGCAGCGTCTAACCGAAACACTGAATTCATTAATGATCGATGATGCGAATGACAAATTTGTAGAAAATCTCAGTGATTCAGATAGTAATAGGAATGTACCGTTTTGGTTCATAAGCACTGGTGAAAGCTATTTATTGTTACCAGATTTGCTTCGACAATTGATTCAAGCTGATTACATCCCAATTTCATTTGATAAATTCTTCCGCTATGCACCCATTACGTCGAAAAAAGATACGGTGATGCAGAATATGGCCAAACTACGGCTGGAATGTCGCGCTAAACAAGTATTCGGCATTTCGCCTTTTCACTTTCACAGTTTTTCTTTTTTTTTCACTGCGTTTCGTTAGTTTTGTGGAACTTTGAAAGTGATCCGAATTTATTTTCGTTTCATAACATCCATATTTGCTGTATCGTTAGGAAGAAGCTCGCTCGATGTTACCCATTTATGTAGTGCCCGAACATGATGTGGTACTGGAACGTTTGAATGTGTTGCGTAGCTTACTGCGGGACAAGCGATTGGACGTGATAATAGCTGAAGATACGCTTCGTTTTTTCGATAAAATCAAGAAAGGTGACATTCGTGCTCGAGAGGCGATTCGTTGGCTTCAGAAGGGTCTTTATGAGCATGGCGATTATCTTGCAATGCATAAAGCTGATTCGGTGCGTCAGTGTGCTGATAATCTCGTAACGTCTTCGTCTCATCTTGACAATCCTTTAATTGTTGCCGTTCTCACTATGGATCAAATGGATGAGCAATACGATCAAAAACGTATGCTCTTTTTTATTTCTTCCACTTCATCTCTCACCATTCATTTGTGTTTTTTTTTTCATGGTTTTAGTAGAATTTCTGAAGATTATGCATAAATTTATTTTTCGGGAAGCTGAGGAAGTATTAATTGAATCAGCAAATCCAACTCATTACAAGTTTATGCCTCTTTGCTATCACCAATATCACATTCTTCTTTCTCCGGTATTCTCCTTTCCTCGCAGCTAACGATAATAGCGTTGCTATCATCTGCCTTCATGAAATTCTAACTTGGATTATTGATTTAGCAAGCATAGAGGTTTGGGCTACTCTCCCATATTGCCCAATGATTTCTAGGGAGAGGGACTCAAAAGGAGCCCGAAAATACATTCCGATTGATCGATTGAACATTCGTTCAAAGTAGCTGTTTGAAATAACCAACAGTAGTAAATCAGTGATCTCTCGGTATAATAATAAACAATTCATGTAACCGAGCAGATCCACAGCAATCGGCGTATCAAACATTCAACAACCACGCAATAACCAGTGTCCGTTGCCATAAATAATTTGCACAATTAAATACAGCCGAATACCAATCCATTAAGCAACCGCAACAATGACGAACAATTTCTCGATCGCATACAGCGATCCACAAACCAATCGCGCAATGTCTAAACAATTCAAACCAATTTTCAGATGAGGAATTAATAGGAATGAAATGAATTTTGAATTATCGGCATATTCAAAAGAAAAAAGCAACAGTTGCGATTATATTGTTAAAAGTTGTTGGTGTTCAAGCACAACTTTTTTTATCACATTACATCAGCTAGGTGGTGATCAACAGTAGCACTTTTTTGTTCAACTACAATTCATTCCATTCAAAACGAGGCGATATCATCAGTGTACTCTGTGCAAATGCTAGTGCTTTTTTCTACTCTGTGCTAGCAAATGCTTTTTTCTCTTTATTGCGCATATCGAACGCTGCAACTTGATACATATTTCCTTTAAACTCCGTGGGTGGTCCGGGATACCACCCAACTTGAAACGTTCCTCAGAGAAATTCATACGGACGTGCTGTAACATGCAATCCGTAATTTCATCACCTAATATGAATTTATAGTTGTGTTCGTTATTTTAAATTACTGTTTTCACAAAGCGAAACTGTCCTAGGATCCTGGGACAGTTTCACATAGTATTGTTCAACAATTGTATGTATCATCGTCAGTTTGGATCGACACAGTGTCAGGCTGGCAGCAATTTTCGGAGCAGAACAATAATTATATAATTCATAATGGCTGTTGCAGTGGAATATTTTAAAAAAAAAGCGTTTAAAAAATTAATTTTGTTGATCTGATGCTAGTAAGTTTCAGCGTTCATGCTTAGTGCAAAGATCAGCAGAGAAAATGTGGATCGGTTTGAAGTGCGTTACAAGTATGCATTGAAAGACAACTTCTTCTAAACAATTGGCTCAACACAAACAAACAGTGCAGAAACGTGAATACAATTATGAACATGAAAATGAATAAGTGGATAAATATTCATTCCTATTTCACTTTTTATGTGTATATGGTGCCCTCTGCAAGAGACGGCAGACAGGCACGCGTCATCAGCATCATCGTATTATCAATTATCAATGATGTTCTCTCTTCACCTTTCGATCCCTGGTACGCCTTTTTCATTAGTTGTATTTTTTGTGATGCATATGCAAATGGATAGATACACTTTTATGTCCGTATACATACTGCCGTCTTCAAATCACTTTTGTTGTCTACCTTTATGCTGGTATCATCATCTTCTTACACATATTTCCTTTTATTGTTTTATTTTGATGTCGTTAAGTATTATCCATTTTACGAAGTGTATTTTAAAAGAAAGCGCATTTGTATTGCATACATCTGTTCATATCGCATTTGTATATGTACGTTTCATGCATACAATGATTCTTGTCGAATATTCGTACTCATCTCTATTTCATAGTTTTCACTTTTACTATCTCTCCACTATTCATTTCACATCAGTATTTTCTTTCTTCTTGTTCCGCTCTATCCTAAATGCTCACATCCATATTCCGTCTTAAATCTAAACCAATGGTTTTTACACTGATCGTTCATACATCTAATCACGAGCTCTTCATTTTGTTGCAATTCATTTAGTATACTCTCTTGAAATTTGCGATTATCTCTTGAATGTATTCTGTCGATGAGCGTTTATACATACTTAGATGCTGCTCTATTATAGCAGATTAAGCAGCGGAACAAGCACGCATGCCTATGGGTTTGGATGTGTTATGTCCGGCCGAGCAGGTGCCATCGCGTTTGCGAAAGCATACACTAGCTGCAGTACAAATAGGTCCTCCCGTTTATTCACCGCTCTATTTGCTTCTATCTCACAGTCTATATTCTATAAACAATAATACGTAAAATATACTCTGTTATATAATTCATATGTATTTTATACATTCGAAAGTCCTCAACCCTTCATTATACTACCTCAGAAAGACTGCTTTTTTGTGTTCTCTTTCTCTGATGCACACACCCTTATCTCGATACCTGTTTCTTTCTTTGGGTGCTTCTTTTGAACGATTTATCGAAATTGTGAACACGTCTGCTCGCGTTTCACAATCCGTCTGCGTTCGTGTCGCGTCGCATCGTCAACCACTGCTAGCAGCACATCATCATTTTTGTTTTATAACAATACAATCCCGAACTGATATATGATATTCATCGAGTCTTCTATCTGGCAATCAATCCCTCTGCATAATAGGAACACATCTTTTCATTTTGCTCTTGCTTTCATTCAACCGAGAGAAAGATGATACTACCATACCACTAGGCAGATTGCACTCATTCTTCATTGCCCACACGCGCAACAGTATAGTGTGTTTTGCACACGCGCATGCATAGATGTGATGTGACCGAGCGACCGACCGCGCACGGATGCGTTTTTGACTGTGAGAGGAACAGAAGGAGGTGATATTATGAATTAGATGAATAGACATGATTGTGGAGTAATAGTTGTTAGTTGTGGTTGTTTTAGGTTTTGCTTTTTTATTGTTCGCTGCTTATTTTTTATGCATTCAAGAAGTTGATAATGCGATGACGCTTGATTTTGTTTTATTGTTGAAATTATGAAGTGTTATTTGTTACAGTTATGTGCAGTATATTGTTCCATAAACATATTCAATTAATCTGTTTCACTTTTTGAGACTGCAGTGTTCTGTTTGTGTGTGTGTGTTACAGCGCTTTCACGTCTTCAAAATGATTCTAGTTCATAGATCCAATTACACTGAATCTTCATCAATTGGACAGTTGAATTTAATGATGAAATTGAGGTACGGCAACGTTCCTTTCTGTCTGCATAAACAGTCATTTCAATTGAGGACGCAACAATTGGCGGTGACGTGCTTATCATCCTCGTTCTGTTGCTTAATCGCAACCTCATCGCTGAATCTGAATCGCTTCCGATAGATCGCTTCGTCCACTTGACGACATCTCATCACATTTCTTGACCGATACTCTTCTTGCACAAACACACCAACTCGACGACACGACCACATTCTTAGTGGCGCATTGGCGCAATGTACAATCCGAATCATCGGCACCCGGTTTGTTCTGAAGCTATTGATTAATAACTTTTTCATTTATGTTGCCGATACTTAGAGTGGAGATAATCAAGTATGAAACGTAATTGCTCGATATCTTAATCGTTAACGAAGCGATATTGGTGCTAACAGAACGTGTGATTATTATTGTTTGTCACCATTTTTATCGTGACTAGCAATAGGTTTTGCTCGCAGTCACTGATGCTACCGTCATGCATTTACACAAGGCAGTAGACGTCCGTTTAGTCCCGTGTCCCAAGCGCACTTTCAGACTTTTTCCCTCGAGGGGCGCCGCCGCGGTCACATTTCGCCACGTGCGTTATCCTAATAACAGATGCATTATCCACGTATCAATCACCCTTAAAACTCATAATACGAGCGCATCTCCATCCATCAAGCAGTGCCCCTAAAGTAAAGGATGCGTAGTAACATACCTTTGTATGTAGAGCGTGTTTCTTTGGCAAAAAACGTTACCGATGTTTGTCATATAAACTGTTATGTCCCTAAAGTGAGCAAATAACCGTTATTTATCTTGAAAGATATTCTCATTTTTTAAATTAGAAAATGTGAGATCAATATCGGTGTTGTTTGTATTCACCTGGTTTGCACAAACATTCCACCTTTCCATCACAATTTCTGATGTGCTCGTATGAAATTCAGCAAATTCATGGTTGTTATTCATTTAAGAATTGAATTGCTCTTTCAGTTACTTCAGTGCTATCGTTTTTTGCCTTATCAAATCACTAGCTAACTGTTAATGTTGGCATATTTAATCATTTAACATTCTTTGTTGAACCGTTCTTGGTAATGTTGACGTTGATCAGGATGAGGAAGACTGTTTAGTAGTAGTGTAACTAATTGGCAACTGGGAATGTATACTTTCTCGAGCAATAATTATTCGATGGAAATAATATAATTAATTGAGAATACTTGAATAATTATCTATTAATATAATCAGCCTATTTAATGGAACGATCTCAGAAAATGAAACTACTAATAATTATTCTAATATTGACACAACTCTTACAGGGCGGGCCGCATCAACCAATCAAGATGTCAATATTAGAGCATGTTGAGCGTATCAAAGAGGAGTATAATTTTTTACAACAACAACTGCAACAACAACGCGTTGAAATTGAGAAGTTATCGCAAGAGAAAGAAGCGATGCAACGACATTACATGATGTATTATGAAATGAGTTATGGCCTCAATGTGGAAATGCATAAGCAAACTGAAATTGCTAAACGGTACAATGCAATTCTATCGCAAATTATCCCTCTTCTACCAGCAGAGCATCAGCAGTCAGCACTTGCTGCGATGGATCGTGCTCGACAAATCAGTATGGCTGAGTTGCATCAGGTTTATTTCATTCCATTTCATAATCATTCTTCATTAAGGGTCAGCTGAAAGGGAGAACCTTCATTATTTGTCGTTCTTAAATCAAAGGGAACAAATGTATCGTAGCTCCATTTTTCGTGAATATTTGCCTTAAGGGTTGCTGTTCATTGATGCAGTTAGTTCATTCTATTATTATCTTGCAGCAACGCTTATCATAAACGCAATTTTCACGTGTATACACTTTTAGTTTTGGATTGATTTCCGTTATTAGATTAACGATTTTTTTAGAAATCAGCCAAATTTTCCCATCTTCTCAATTTTAATTTCACGCCATTCATTGAATGCGAAATTTCCAAATGAGATCGTAAGTAAGAGCATTGTTCCACATTTTCTGTTGATGACATAGTTTTGGAAGATGTTGCTTAATTGAAACATTCGTGCTAAAGATGTATGTAACTGCGATCTGAAAACTCAGTCTGTCGTTGAATATTGTCAGTTCCAGTGTCATTCACATTCTCCTAACACTTTTATTTCCCATTGCCTAGCAAAAATCAATTTGAATAGAAATGTTCTTCAAATTTTATGCTCTCTTCGATGCGTGACGAATGTAGTTCGAAACTCGGTTCTTTTTTAGTTGTTTTTGAATACTGCTTTTCCTATGAATGGTTCATCCACCTTCTCAGAAAACGAAAAGATGTACTCTGTAAGCTCAGCGATAACATTCCAATTTAAACACATTAAATTCCCGTCTTCAAAGTGGTCGTATTGTCTGTTGTTCAGAGCGTTCAACTTCTCCATCTTTTCGTTATGAGATCATAATCAAGAATAGTTTCAGTCCAAGCAATATTGAGGGTTGTTTTATAGTGATATTAATATTGGTTAAAGGCAATTGGAAGTCAAATGCACGCACATCAGCAATTGGCAATGATACCAGGAATGGCTATGGCAGGTCCAATGAGTTTAGCAGCAGCCGCACAAGGACCTTTCCATCCGTCGGTAGCAGCAATGGCTGCAGCTGCGCAAGGATTAGCGAAGCCGGACGAGAAGAATGACGAACGGAACGCAAGTCGAGCTTCACGGCCTCGTTCATCCACTCCAGATACCAATCAGAAACGGCCGAAGGTCAGTATTCCATCGCAATTTAGTTATGCCTCTCGTGGTTTTGAGTATTCTTTGATACCACGCAGTGCCGCGACTGTTGCTGTTCGCGGATATCAGAGAACGGACTGATCGGTTTTTGCGCTGTATGTTTTTAGAGCAGGATATTGTTCACCATACATTTTGAAGTAAAGTGAATTATGATGCTTCTTTTGTAGATATAATTTCGTTTTACAGGTGGAATCAGAAGATGGGGAAGGTGAATTAGAAATCGACGTGCAGAACGATGATGCGACAGCAACGAATGGCGTTAACTTGAAAAAAGACGGTCGTGAGAGTGCACATTCTGTTTCATCCGGTATGTTTTCATGTTTCGCGATTGTGCTGTTATTTCGTAAATGAATGGTGATGGTACACTATCGGTTGATATTTTAGGTGACTCAACACCATCTGGTAAAGCGCGTATGGCGAATGCATTAGCCTCAGCCGATATGAATGCAATGGCTAGCTCTTTACTGGCAAATCCTGCACTTGCATCATTTGCTGGTAGATCTGCAGCAGCTGCGTTGCCTGCTATGCTTGATCCACATGCACAGGTAGTTATTTTATTGATTGAATTAGTGTATCGCTCGTCAAAATTATTACGTATCTGGTTGAGCTGTCATCGAATATGCATTTTTTTTGCATGCTGTTAACTCATTTTGCTCGATCGCATTGGGGTTTTGTGATGCTCAACTCAGGTAAGGTAATGTTTTAAGGCTCGATTCATGGCTGGTATGAGTCAAGCGAGTGCTGCTGGTATGCCGAATGGGAAGCCATCGTATGCATTCAAAACGACTGAAAGTGGCCAGTTGCAACCTGTCAACTTTCCGCAGGATGCACTCATTGGTCCAGGCATACCGCGTATAGCACGAAAGGTGCACGATTTACAGCACGGTGAAGTGGTATGTGCAGTGACTATTTCTCAACAGAATCGACATGTTTACACGGGTGGAAAAGGATGTGTGAAGGTGATAGATTGTTTTTCTTACATTGCCTCTCTCACTGAACAGTCAGTCGTCAAATTGCATTAGTTCGTTTACTCATCAACAAATGCTTTATGTATTTATTGATTGTAGCATTATCGATGCTCTACATAATCGTTCAATCGTTGAAGTGCTCATTATTTCGTTATTGTTTACACTGCTTTCCATATATTCCAGATGTTTATTCATTTGAAGGTGTGGGATATATCAAGGGCAGAAACGTCGAAGAATGCGATCTCAACACTTGAGTGCCTGAAAGATAATTATATTCGATCGTGCAAGTTATTTAACGATGGATCAACGTTGATAGTCGGGGGTGAGGCATCCACAATAACTGTTTGGGATTTGGCTGTTAGTTATCACTGATTATTTATGTTTACATTCACTTTCTTTATGTGTGCCAAAGACCAGCGAATAAAAAAATCATTTTGCAAGATTAAATAGGAAACATTTGAAGAAGGATTAACGTCATTAAGGAAATGTGCACAAACAAACTACTATGCTTTCATCTGATCTCAGTAACTTTTTCATGTGATTTCATATTAGAAAAGATGTAACTGAACTATAATTAAGTGAAATATTTTCACTATTTATCTTCACTGATAGTATCGCCTTATTTATCAAGTAAAGAAAACAACGTTTTTTGAATGATTTATCAAATTTTTTTTCAGTTTCGAATGATCTATCAAATTTTTGAATTCTTTCAAATTCTTGCGTTTTTTTTAAGAATATGAAATGCGTGAATTTTGCAGTGGACTTGTTGCATATCGCATTATAGTAAGTTGATGAGTGAATAACTTCATTGATGGCCAGTTGAGTGTTATAATTTTCAGACAGAAACGGTGAAAGTGGAGTTGGACAGTGAAGCGCCAGCATGCTACGCACTTGCCATCTCTCCTGATAACAAACTATGCTTTTCATGTTCAGCTGATGGTAAAATCATCATTTGGGATCTGGATAGCAAGAAAATGGTTCGTTATTCAGTCCGTCAATTCATTCCCGATAATTTCTCGTCATATTCTTGCACACATGTCACGTAGTATCTTACAACACTCCCGATATGCCACTTGAGGTCGTATACGAACCATGATAAAATTTACATTCAGATGATGGCGCCTATAGAGTAAAACGATTCTCCTTGTTGGTTTTGTTTACCGGACGAGTTTTTGACTTTTTAGCTGCATTCAACTTATACAGTTGTTGCTGTCAAAGGAAACTATCTTTTTGAAGTCGTACTGAGAACATGTTTCGTCTGATCACATTCGGCGGGGATTACAATAAAAATTTAGCTCTTCATCGTCGTTCACGTTTCTACTTGAATATGAATATTCAGCTAAAACATTTCAGATAACCTGCTTACCGGGTCATCAAGATGGTGCCAGTTGTGTGGATTTATCAAGTGATGCATTGCGACTGTGGAGTGGCGGATTGGATAATACTGTCCGTAGTTGGGATTTACGTGAAAGAACCCAACTTCAGCAGCATGATTTTGCATCACAAATCTTTTCATTAGGCTGTTGCCCCACTGACGACTGGGTTGCAGTTGGTATGGAAAATAGTAATGTTGAAGTGCTGCACGTTAGTAAACCAGACAGGTATGTGACTGCGTTTGTATATTTGTGTTGATTATATTCAGCCACATCTTCAAATATCCGTTTTACGATTTCAGATACTCTTTACATATGCACGAAAGTTGTGTGCTATCGCTAAAGTTTGCACATTCCGGTAAATGGTTTGTATCAACCGGCAAGGATAATGTTTTGAACGCATGGAGGACGCCATATGGTGCTTCACTACTTACCGCAAAGGAGAGTTCATCAGTGCTATCATGCGATATTTCCTCGGATGACAAGTATATCGTGACCGGCTCCGGTGAGAAGAAGGCGACTGTCTACGAAGTCGGATACTGAATTTCGAATGTGGATCTCCTCTTTTCTAACGGTGCGTTCTGGGTTATTGCTCAAAGGTAATGCCATCGTCAGGTGTTACCTGTCTTGTTATGATGGCCGTTATGAAGCAGTCTGTTTATGTGTTTGTCGTTAGAACTTCAAGCTATACACTTTTCTCTGCTGTTATAATATTTCTCACTATGTAATATGCCTACTGACACGCTAATTTTCATTCGTGAACAATCCCTTTATACGTGAACTCCTTTGGTCAGTTGACATTATTGGCCAGTCCAGTACGCACCATTACCTTGTTTTTTCAATTGATGTTCTTATTACCGATGTGTTTTTATGGTATTTTTTGTTGTGTTTTTTGGTTTATCCGTTGGTGTGGTTCTGTTGTTGATGAGCTTAAATGAATAACGTATGTGTCCGTATAGAGGATATTGATAAGATCATTGAGAATACTATAACATTTGAACTGAGGGTTACATCTAGCATCACATTTAATTTTTTCATTAGATATCTTTTATTTGATTCATCATTTCGTTTTATGATTCATTGTTCGCGTCAGGTTCATGAGTGTTGTGCAGAGATTTCCGGAAAAATTGATTTCCTAGCTGTTTCTCAGATATTGAGTTCTAGTTTTCCTTGATCGAGCTGTGAATAATGATAGTCATTTGTATCAATAACCATTTTCATATCATTCCAGCAGTTCGTCGCCATTTCGAATTCCTTGCGTTTCGCACATTAAAGTGCTATCTCAGGACGTATTTGACTCAGTAATGGAAAAAAATTAACCTATTCTCATTTACAAAACTGTTGGTTGAACTCGATCAAAACTTTTGTAATCCAATCTTGCAAGCTTCTTTGGCCTCTCCTATAAACCCGCGCAGTTTCCTGGACTTTGCAGACTTCTGAGCTCCTTCACCTGGGGGCTGTAATGAACGATGAGGATCACCAGAATCCCCCAGTGAACGAACTAAGAAGGCTACAAATCCATGCGAATAAGAAGAGTCGTCTTCGTCGTAAGGAATCGTTCTCGCTCTACATCTATTGTCAAATCCATCCCGATCTTGGGATCTCATCTCGTGTGATGTGGACCATGGATTCCTTTCCTATATGTATATGTGTATATCATATATATTTATATCAACTTATCGTATGAGCTATTTGTTTCTGTTTCGGATTAATTCCTCTAAGCCATACGTTAGTTAATAGTTTTATACTTAATGAACTCTGTGAGCAATAAGGAACATCCCCAACACTCTTTGATGCATCCTTTCAATCTGAATTGATACCGATTTTAATGTTGGTTTTTCTGGTGCCCGTTTTTTTACATCACTTCTGTAGATGATTCAAAATGAAAAAATTCACTTTGTCAGATTTGTTTTTAGTTTTTTTATTGTCTTGTTTTTTTGGGTGGATCAAGTTGGAGCTGAACTCTTGCTAGTATCGGAGAGAAGATTAATTGTTTAAGTAAACGAAGTGGGGAAAACTGAATTCGTTTCTCTTATTGTTCCTTATTGTTCATTAAGGTTTTACTTGAGACGAAGTATTTTGCGGGTAGATCGCATTACAAGTACACATTTGTTTCAAATGACTCTCATAATACTCTATTTATGGACATGAAATAAGTTGGTAATGTTAACAAATTACTTCAGTTCAGTCATCTCAATGATTCAATCAAAATTCACTGATTGATCGTAAATTCGGTAATGTTGTATTTCAGGTTGGTAAAATCACAACGGCATTTCGTTCATGCGGTCATTTCTTGCTGTGCTCTTACTAAGTAATACTAGCAAGTAACTAAGTAACACATTCAGCTGCGAATGTGAACAAAATGCCGTTTTGATTTTACTAACCTAAAATATAAAATTTTCATAAATTCATATTCTTCATTGGATTATATGCACTAAGTTTTAAATCAGAGAGATCGAGCAAATTTTGTTATTGTTTCGATTATGCTTAGCAGTGAGTGGAGAATGCAACGGAAGATGATAAAACACCAAAGGATTGACTGATATATGTTTTGAATATTTCGTGTAAATAATTTTAGTTGAATGTTGCTATTGGCTGAATGAAAAGAATCGCTTCTGATGAGATGCAATCTATTCTTAAACAACTACGATAGGTATTGCTGTTGCGTTCATCATTATTAATACGCTTATTTTTTAATCATTTCAAGCAAGTTGGTCGCTTTTAATGGTTTTTGGGAATCGATCTCATTAGCTATTTATTCGTGTATTTTATACAACACTTACTGGTTGTTATGTCCTAGGAATATATATCTATTTTTTTATTTATAAATATACATATATATGCATAAATTTCAGTGAAATCGAATAATTTTTATCTTAGTTTTTTTTTAAATCTCGTATACATTTTCATCTCGTGTATTCTTTTGTATTTGTTTGTTGTTGTTGTTGTTATAATTATTACTGATAATGTTATTGTCCAGTCCCTCTTATCTGTTTGTTTTTCTCTCTCTTCTTTTATTTAGATCCTCAGTAACTATTTGTGCTTTTATGGTCAAATAGTGTTTTGTGAAAGTTGTTATATAAAAGTATTACTGTACGTAATTATGACAATCATCTTTGTATTGTGTTTTGAAGCACTCTTGTTTTAATCACTCCACCACAGATTCTCCGTTCTGATGATGTTAATCGATGGTAAGATGGAGTTTGTCATCTTTGGTAGCTTTTCAACAGAAGTGTATGTTTGTCATCAATTCTGATCATTAATTGTGGTTATGAAATGCAATAAGATTTTCAAAAAAAAGCAGATCTGGATTTAATCCACCGCAGAATATTAGCATAAATACGAACAACAACTCATCATACTCGGTCATTTAATTGTTTATGGATTAGCTTTATTCACCTCTTCTCTCTCTCTTTCTCTTCCAGTTAATACGGTTGATCTCGTAACTGTTAATTGCATTTTATTTCATCTTAACGTATTTACATCGTCCTATTCATTCTTGAATTCTCACTCTTTTTCGTCATTGAATGACTTTCTATTTAGTATTGATGGAGGGCCTTGAATTGATGAATCGAACAAAACAAGAAGATTGTTGTATATTAGCAAATGTTCGATTTCCTTAGCCGAATAAAATAATCGTTTTGCATTCATCGAATGAATCGGTATAAAACTATTAGAAGCTACTTCATATAGCATATTAATTGTGAACGGTGGAGTTGATTTTCGAATACGTTATAATGTTTGTTGTTTGTTTATTTAGTGTTTGTTTGCTTATGCACTTGTTATGAAATCGCTGTTTTGATATTATACTTCAATTTTAATACTACAAACAGTTGATTGTTGCAATTCAAATTGACTCGCACACACACCGTTTATTCTATTTATAATGGTTTCACTCAACGCAAACTAAAGCCATATGGTTGTTTTTTTTTTGAGATTAATTTCTGATTCTGTTCCACATGAAAATGAAAGGAAATTTTTCGCACCTTTATATCTGAAATGTCTACTGATACGTTTGTTCGTTTACATTTTTTGAATAAATGCACATTGTATATTTGAAAATGCAATAAATCATTGAAACATTTGACTATATTCAAAGAAGTAACATGAAACTCAAATGGAACGATAATCTGATCGTGAGGGGTGAATAGATATTGCAATGCGTTTCATGTAGATGCGCATTATTTTTTTTAATAAATTAATCACCTGTTTTATATGAGTTTCATTTGATAACTCATCGTCTAACCCAATTATTGTCTCTCTCAGGACCTATAATACGCAGTCTGTGTGTCGCTCTCTGTGTGTAGTTAATCGAATGATGTCCTTAATGATTACTTGACCAATGTTGTGTCTTTAAACGTAATTTTATTTGTGAGTGATTCTCAACAGCAGAATAAAGCCAGTTCTCATTTACGTCTTCTTAAGCTTGAAGCATTATGTTCGTTCATGTTATCAGATCGGGCCTATAGACTGAATCGATAACTTAAATGCACTGACTAGCTACAAATTTGACGAGACGGTCGACTGCCTATATAGTTTAGAGCAGGGTTTGTCAGCCGGGGTGCGAGGTGGCATGCCAGGGGATGCGAGAGTGGTGCAATGAGGGGAGGTGAATGAGGGGTGCGAAGGGCAAAAAAGGTTGAGAACCACTGCAATACCCACTGTTTAGGTGATATAAACTGATCAGCAACTCTAAGTCGTATGTGACAGACCTCTAGGCATTCGCTTGGCTATGGGCCTGTGTGAGATCAATACGTTGTATATGACCATAATGTTATCATGTACTATTGTTGTTGTTGTTTTGTTTTATTGGTCGAATAAACTGTATTCAGTATTTATTGGTCGATTCACAGACTATTTCTTCGTTTAACCACTTTCTACGTCTATTTCTTATAGACTATTCATTCGTTCGTTTTATTATACTTCTCAATCTCAATGAATTTGCTGGTGAATTGTGTTCTATTGGCATGTTTGTTGTGTGTGAAACTGAACCAATCAAGCTCTTATGTTAATGATTGAAGGTAGTTCATCAAATGGATTATCTCGAACTGTTACGTTTATCATGTGTGATGAGTAATACGTATCTGACACAACTTGTTTTTTGTTGTTTAATTTCAACATTATGTCTTATAAAATCTCGAAGATACGACTGCGGGATTCGTCGTGCTCGCATTTCATCGAAGTTGGTTTATATCTGTTTGCACGTGTCGTATCTGAATTATTTTGGCTGCAGTCAGTGTTCATATTTTAAACACTTTAATTTCACACAAATATGTCGTGCTTCATAATGTACATATGACTGAAGCTTTTTCTTATTCATCTTTTATAATTTTCGTTGCAATGAGCACTGATTTTCTCAACAGTCTCATTGCAGTGAACAAAAGTGATAAAATCAAGCAATCCAATATTCGAATCCAAGTGGCATTAATCATCTTTTACCGGTTTTCAAACATAGAGTCGTTTCGAATCATATTTTCGATGATCATTGTCTCCGTAGTGGTCATTGTTTTGTTATATATTCTCAGCCGATGGTAATATTCTGA